GTCTCCAGCACTCCTCAGGAAAGCTGAGCCGCCGGGTCCATTCCTTCTCCCCACACCCACAGCTGCCCTCTCCCACCCCCTCTTGGATGTTTAGCTGCCCCAGCTTCCTGCGCCCAAACCAAACTCCCACTGCTGCCCTCCTGGCCTCTCCTTCTTAGTGGCCGGCACCTCTGTCCCTCCACTTGCTCAGGGCAGAATTCCTAGACTCCTTTCCTTTCCACACAAACCACATCCAAACCCACCAGCAAATCCTGTCATCTCTACTTGCCAAAACCGTCCAGGGTTCTGATCTCGTCTCACTGTTCCCAGTCTGCTCCTTTGCTTTGCTTTGTTTTTTGAGACAAGGTCTCACTATACAGCCCAGGCCAGCCTTGAACTCACTATGTAGCCCAGGTTGGCCTCGAACTTGTGGTGATCTGCCTCAGCCTCCTGAGCGCTGGTATAACAGAGGTGCACCACCACGCCAGGTTCCCGATCCACTCTTAGCTCCTAGCTACATTATCGCAGCAAGCTCCTAACCTTGACCTCTTGCCCATTAGGTCTGTTCTCATATTCTTATTTTATTATTTATTTATTTATTTATTTTTGGTACCAGGGATTGAACTTAGGACCTTGCACTTGCCAGGCAGGTGCTTATTCATATTAATTTATCCTTCAAAAAAAGGCACCCTGAACTAAAGCAGCATAGAGCAGCAGCACACGGGCACTTGGCACAGCTTGTAGTAGCCAAGTCTTGCAAACAGCGCAAGCGAGCACCAACTGTGAATGGATACAGATGTGCGGGTTTTAATCCAGTGGAGTACTACTGTGCCATAAAGAAGGATAAGCCGGAGACATTCCTAGGCGAATGGATGCACTTGAGACCACACTCGTAAGTGAAGTAAATGTAGCCCGTGTGTGTAAGTACTGCAGTCTTTCTCTGGCGTGAGAGACCAAAAGTGTAAACAAGCACCAAAACGTACGTCAGACACTGTGAAGTAGGAAGGAAATGTTCAAACGGGGAAAAAGCAAAGGGGAGAGGGAGGGAAGGAGGGGAAAAAGAAAAGCTAGTAAGAGTCGGAAAATGGAAACAAAGCTCTATAAACGGGGGGGAGGGGTTGAAGCAGGGAAGGGTAAGGGGGAAACACGAATTTATACCACGTGCAGGTACAAATTCCCTACAATGAGCATGGTCTCGAATGTACCAAGAAAACAAGAGTTTTAATAAAAGTCACTTGGCCCGACCCACGGCGGCCACCGTCTCCAGGGAGCAGAGCTGAAGTCTTTCAGGGCTCATACGACTGCGTCTGCCCCCTTCCCTCTCTGGTCCACCTCAGCAGCACTGTCGCTCACGCCTGTGCCGCCACAGTCCCCTCTGGCACGGTCACCCCCACGCAAAGCCCCCGTCACATGCACTCCTGGTCGGATCCTCGCCTGGCGCTGGCTCTGTGCCCTGAGGGAAGCTGAGTTCTCTGCGGATGGGGCTTTGTCTCACGTTGCCTTGTTTGGACCCAGAGCATGGCTTGGCACACAGCAGGCATTCAGTAAAGATTTACTGAATGAGTAAGTGGAATCAGTGTGAAACCGGCAGTCTTTGGAGGCAGCCTGGGTCTCAAAGTGTAGCCTGACTCCTGGTATCAACTTGGGCTCTTGTCTAACGTCTTGTGATTTCTGCTCTGTGGGGAGGGCAGGGTCCTCACTCTTTTAGAAGACTCTAGAATGATGCCTGGGCCAGGTGTGGTGGTACACACTTTAATCCTTGCTACTAGGGAGGCTGAGGCAGGAGGATCGGCATCAGTTTAAGGGCAGCCTGGACTAGTGAATTCAAAGCCAGTTTGGACTATTTAGTAAGACCCTGTCTCAAAAACCAAACAGACAGCACAGGGGCCAGGTGTTCAATCCCCTGGCCTGCTGTGCCAGCCCTGCCCCCAGGGCACACTCAGACAGCAATTCAGACTGGGCGTGGTGGCATGGGCCTGTAATCCCAGCTCTTGGGAGGCTGTAAGCAGGCAGATCACTGAGTTGGATCTAGTAGTGAGACCCTGAACACCCTGTAGCCCCTTCCCTAAAATACAAAAAACAAAAAACAAACCAGACAAACAAAAAAGACAAGGTTAGAATGATGCCCAGATGGAGATGTAGCTGAGGGGTGAGAACGCCACCTGGCCACGGCCTTGCCCCTTTCCTTCCTTGTGCCCCAGGGCAGCAGGGAAAGCAGGAGCTGGGGGGCAGGAGGAGAGATGCCCACCCTTCCAGCTGAGCTTGGGGCTGGTCACCGCCAGCTTTGAAGTGACAGGAGTGCTTCTGGTCTGGACTTGGGAGGATTCTGGGAGCCCCATCTGCTGGAGGAGGACCAGGAAGGCTAGCCACAGGCCTGGTTCCACATGGTGTGTCACCTCTGTTTCTGTGAGCATCACGAAGAGTGTGGTTGTCGCAAGAGCAGAGGCCAGGAGGAGGCGGAGGCAAAAGAGCGAAGAAGGTGGCCGGGGGCTCTCTGAGGACAGACAGCCTGCACATGGCCCTAGGGCCTGGTGTCAGCTTCCACACAGACCTCAGCAGGCCCCAGGCCCTTCGAGGCCACCCAGATTGGGATAGGGTGGCTGTCCTTTTGGCTGGGGCAGTGTGGTCCTCCTCCCCTTTCTAGGCCGTGCTAGCTACAGCTTCTTGCTTGTTTTTCCTGGAATAAATGGGCTGAGCATATTGGGCCGGCAATAAGCCCTTGAAATCAGTTGTTATCACAGTTAACAACCAGTTTGGCTTCAGTTCAGGCTGTTAACTATCAAACCACTAAGTGCCGGTAATGATTGATTCCTGGCCAGTTGCAGCCTGAGTGGGCTGTAAAACCCCATTAGCGAGGGCTCTGGGGCGGCAACCTGAGGATGAACGCGCTGGTGGGTGCTGCCGCTTGCTCGACCCAGTCCCCTGGCCCAGGCTCTGCTCCCATGGGGCCCTGGGCTGGCAGTCAGCTCAGAGTGGCACCTTTCCGAGCCTCAGGCCCATTCACGGACCCAACCCACACTCTCATGTCCCTTGGTCCCCACCCAGCCAGGAACCACTGGCCTCTCTGGACACAGTGCTGGTGCTCAGCACAGCTCACCTGTCTCCCTAGATACCAAGATGGGGCAGAACTCCAACCGACCACCCAACCACCCGAGGGCTCCAGCACCATAGAGAGCTGGAGGTTTAGCTTCGGTCCAGCCAATGCCCAGCCCGAGCAGAGCCCAGCTCCCCTCTGCAGCCAGGATCACAGGGAGAAGGAAGCCTGACATTCCACCCCACCCTAGACTCCCTCCTCCGCTGTGGCTTCCCCCAGGAATTGCCCTCAAACAAATGAAATGTGGGTAATTACTGGGCCAGGGGCTGGACAGGCGACCGTGCAGATGAAAGCGTTTCCTGGACGGTCTCTTCATTTGCATGGCATCAGAAGCTGCTCAGCAGGTGTGACTTTTCCCACACTGAGACCCTAGCTCCTTGCACAATAAAGCCAGGCTGCTCACCCAGAATTAATTAAAGGGGGAGGGGAGCAGAGGAAAGGGCACCAAGAGCTGGGGGAGCCGGAAGAGAGCCACGCAGAGCTCCCCCACACCCTTGCCTCTGCTGCACTAGGACACTCTACTCCCTTCTCTCTGGAGCCCCCACCCTTCCTGTAGGCACAAGCAGGGGTGGCAAAGCCCATGGCTTCCCAGCCTCTCCACCTAAGCTCCCTACCCCGACCCCCAGCCCTGGACTTCTGCTGTGCCCACTGAATGGCTGGGCCTGGAACCTGGTGGGTGGCACCCATGCCCAGGGATGATCCCAAGACCCGAGGGCAGCTCCTTCTGCCTGGGCCATGGGCACGGTCTGCGAGCGGCCAGAGGGGAGGTGCAGGGTGAGGACTGTGGTGTGACACCAGGCTCACTGCTGTTGAGACAACCCCCCACGCCCGGGCCTGACCTGCCTCACACTTCCTTTCGGTGGAGTTGTCCTTCTTGGTGGCTCACCCCATGGACATGGCCGCTGCTCCTGCCCCAGGCGAGCCTCCCCACCTGCACCGGCTCCTCTTGCCCTACTGAGAGTGGCGCTTCTGCTGCATCTCCGCACCTAGCTCTCCCCACGCCAGCACTCCTTCCCTGTCGCCAGAGTCCACGTGGCCTGCATGGAACCCTCCAACACCGTGCCACCCTAGTCCCGGCAGCCGCTTGTTTGTTCTGTTTTGTTTTTGGTATTAGGGATCAAACTCAGGACCTCGCACTTACTAGGCAGGCACTTACGCTGCTGAGCTGCTTCCCCGGTCCTGGCTGTCATTTTTTGGAGCCTGGCTCTCGGCAAGAACCCTCCTGGCACCTTGTACGTAGGCACAGAAAGGGGCACTTCCTTAACTCCTGGAATCCACCCCAGCCCCTGTTCCTGGCCGAGGCGGTGGTGGCCAGGTGTCTGCGGTGACTTCTGTCGCAGGCTGTCTGAGAGGGTCTTGGACCAGCTCAGAGCCTCTCCTGGCCTCCTCTCCTGCTTCTGACCTCTCAGGAAAGCCCTCTGGTGACAGTGATAGAGGGTCCCTGGTCAGGCCGGAGGACATCACCGTCAGCTGGTGCCTGACCTGGTGTGTCCCCTGATGCCATCCACCTTGGGCAGCACGGGTGTTTGTGTGCATCTGGTAGGACGCACTCTCCAACACACATTTCTAATTTAAATAAGCTAAATATTCAGTGGTTTGATAGCAAAGAGTAACAACCAGTCCCTTGGGCCCCAGTGCCGAGGGAACTGCCCGAGGCTCCGCGTGTGCTCCCTGGCCAGCACCTGCCACTGCGCTGGACAACGGTCCCTCCACCCAGGGAGCCCGGGCCCTGCTGGGCCTTTCTCAGAGCTAAGAATGCAGACGCCACTGCCAGTGGAATACAAAAATAGATCCTCTCTTTTGTTTAAAAAACTGCAATAAACCCAACAGCAAATGATATCCACAACTAGGATGCAGGCCCCGCTCCTCCGCCTTCACCTCCCCAAGTGTCCCTCTCTGGTCCCTCTCCTGCCTGGACACAGGACCTCTACCGGGGCTCGGGGGCCCAAGTCCTCTGACTGCCACGCAGGCTGCGTGTGAAAGGTGGGTAGTTGAGGAACTCAAAGCGTAGGCTCTGTTCTGTGGTGTGGTGGCCCCGGGGCAGCCGCTTCATGAAGTGCACCTCCCGCTGGTGCTGCCGCGTCTTGGAGCCCTTGCGGGGCCGGCCCTTGCGCGTGAAGGCCATGTACCAGCCCTCATACTTGGCATTCTGCAGGGCCGTGTAGTTGTTCTCCAGCACGATCTCCGTGAACACGCAGTCTTTGCCCTTGCCGTTGCTCTGCAGGTAGGGGCAGACAGTTACGGAGCCCCCACGGGAGGCAGCGTGCCAGCGCCCAACAGCAGGTGTCACCCCAGCAGATGGCAAAGGCGCGGGACCCAGTCACACCCCCTGCCCAGGCACCAGGTCTCTAATCCCTCACAACCTGCAGCCCACCCGGCAACTTCCTGTCCTTCTGGGCAGCAGTGACACATGGCCAGGCCCAGGCAGAGGCCCAGAGCACGGGTCCTGTCTGGCTTGCTGCCCACTAGCCTGGCCAGACTTACTGCCCGGCCTGGGGGAGGGCACCCTGTGGGGGAGGGGTGCCCAGGAGGAGACTGAGTCCCAAGCTCCTTGGGCCCAGGAGGCCCGGAGCTCAAGGCCGGAGAGGAGCCGTGACTAATAGGCCCATTCCAGAGCGCGGCTGAGGGGCCGGGCCTGCGGCTTACTGAACATTCCAAATACTGGTACCATGTAATTGGACATAATAGCAAAGCAATTTGGCGATTTGTTAAAAAGATATATGGAATTTAGCACCCCCTCCAGTCCCGTCCTAGCCTTCCTTTTGTGTCCTCCTTCCACAGGTTCTCACTCTCCAGCACTTTCCTCCCCCCACCCACCAGGTGAGCCCGAGTGGGCTGCACCTCTCACACACCTCACCCAGCTGGTGCTTGGGAGCTGCCTCACCTTAGCGATGAGCTTCCCCTTCTTGTTCATGCAAATGTAGAGCCCAGTCTCAGCCCCACGGACTCGAACCCTGCTCCCAAAGGTGTCTGTCTCCACGATAAGCTTTGCTGTCAGGGAAGGGGCAAGTGGTTACTCAGAGACACCTGACCCCCGCAGCACCACAGCTGGACCCCAAGAGATCCGTGGCTTGCATCCCAGCAGCAACTGCCCCAGGCCAGGCCTTCCAAACAGCTCCAGCTCCCCATCTCCAGCTACTGAAGAGCAGCTCTGACAGGGGTCAAGTAGCTCTTCTGGGCTGCAGACCCCACCCTGGGTTTACAGAGGGGCTTGGACAGGATCACAGTTTACAAGGTGGGCTCCACAGAAGGGTCCTGGGGCCATGAGAGCAAAAATGCTGAATCTGCATTCCTTCTTCGCTCTTCAAATCAGACAGCGATAACTTTGATGTCAAGGCTCTCAAGAAAATTTAATCTGGTCAGAGTACCATGGCTAATCAAAAGACCCTGAGGAGCCATCCCACTCAGATAGTACATGTGTGTACTTCACAAGTGATACGAACCTCAGCATGCAGGCGTGACCTCTAGGCTTGACCCCAAAGGTAGAGCATGCTCCCCTGACCCAACTCACAGCCCTGGTCACTCCTGTTCTGCTGAGGGATGTCAGAGATAGGACAGCTCTCCCTAGACACAGCTCAAAACTGCTTTGGGACCTCAGGCGCCAGCTGGGAGGATTCTGCCTCTTTCCCTTGACTTCCCAGGTACCAGGCCTTAGCCCCAGCATCTGGAATCAATGACCCAACCATCTTCTCTTTCAACCCCAGCTCAGCTGGACTTCTCAAATGGCCCTGGTCACAGCTACCAATGCCACCAAAAAGAACCAGAACCAAGCCCCCCTCATCCCTCTTCTGTAGTGAACAGCAGAGAAACTCAGGGTCCTGAGGCGGGGCAGAAATCAGGGTCTTCTGCCCACCTCCTCCCCTCAGACTGGTTCTAGAAGCTGTCCCAGACACATTCTGTGCAATTAATCTTGGGGACATCCTGGTTGAGAGCCAGGGCTGTTCCTGCTGTCAAGTCCTCTGCCCTCCACATGGTCAAGCTGGTTAAGCTCAGTCTTTTCCCTCTTTGAGAAAGCAGTTCTGGGATGCACTGTGTTGACACCTGGAGCCTTCTTTGCCCTGCCTGGCCCAGGCCCCTCCTGGCCCGCTTCCCTTTGGCCCTCCATTTATTCCTCCCGCCGGGTCTGCCTTCCCGAGGGGCTGCTTTGCAGGGCTGAGAAAATACTGGCTAGAAAGAAGAAAAACCCACCCAGAAGGTTCCAGCCAAATGCGGCACAGGGATAAGGTGGGAGCTTCCAGAGCCACCAGGGAAGCACTGCGGGCCTCTTCCCCTGCCCCCAGGCTCCTCTGGCCCTGCCCCATACCCTATGCCTCAGTTCTTGGGGCCTCCAGTTCGCACCCCAGCCTTGCAGGGAGAGCTGAGGAAACCTGGGATGCCTCCTCTGGACCTCGGGAGACAGCTCTCAGCAGAACTCCTGTGACGTCTGAAGGCCTACCTTCCTGTTGGCCGCTTGGCTTGCCCACAAAATCTGAGGTTCTGGCCCATTTGCTCCAATCAGGCAAACCCTGGAGGAGCTAGGCCTTCCTTCCCTTCCTTGGAAGCTGAGAAAGGAGCAAGCAGCTACTTTGGAGGGACAAAGAGACCACAGGCCCTGCTCTGCCAGCCCAGTGGGGAGGCCTACCACCAGGCCAGCGGTCCCCACCCCCACGAGCCCAGAGTGAGAGCCACTCTCCTTCCCGGATGGATGGGGACCCAGGGCTGAAGTTTACAGCGGCTCTCCCAACCAGGCTTTTGCAAAGCTTAACATTTTCAAGCCTATTCTTCCACCCCAGTGACAGATTTATCCCAGGAAAATTATGTCTCCTCCAGCTTTGAAGGGAAGTCAACTACGTCGATGCAGAAAAAATGCAGCGAGACATACTCGATCCCCCAAACTGGCTTGAGAAGAGGAGAAAGTATTCAGGAAATGTTAAAAAAGGTGAAAGCAAGAAGAGTTTTAATCGCTCTGCCAGACGCGGGGGTCTCTCCAGAGATTCATGGAGAACAATCCTCAGCCTCTTTTTTAACATTTACAGACTCGCAACTCCTTTCAAACTCCACATCTGAAAAAAGACTGGTTCTTTTTCTGTTTTATATCATTCCTCATTTTTCTTCTTAGCTCTTAAAATGCCTCACCTTTTTATTACATTTTAATAGAGTCTTCCCCTCTCCTTTCGTGCTTGTTTAACTTGGTCATTATTTAAAGGTTTTTAAACTCACAATAATCGCTCTCTAAAAACACCACCAGTCGCCTAGAGAGCTTGCTTTCCTTCTGGTACATCTAGGACTCTGGAAATTGGCCCCATTTCAAGGTAGAAATATTGAATGTTTTAGAAATCAATCAATCCTCAGCCTCTGCCCGAAGTAGCTCCCGGTCTCAGCATCCCGCGGGAGCCCTCACTGCCTGCTGCCTCCCTGGGTGCAGTCCAGCTCCGGGGCGGCGGGCGGGCACCCCAGGTTTAACTGTCCCTTCTGATCAACGCAGTTGGAAGGTCACAGCACCATCCTTTGCCAAGGCAGGGGATCTCTCCCTGCCCTTCCCACTCTCCTTGCCTGGGCCCTGGTGAGGTTTCTCCTTTCAAGAACTTCCCTTAAACCTGGGCCCCCTCGGCTGTCGCCCCTTCCTCCACCTGCAGCAGAGGCGCGGATACACAGGGACTGCAGGAGCCATTCCTGGCTGGGTGGGGAAGGGGCACCTGCGGGCCGTGTCCCCGGTCGGGTCGTCCCCAGCCCCTCTCTCCAGCCTGCCCTCTGCACACCTGCTTGCTCTGTGTCCTTCCTCCCTGCGGGAGTCCGCAGGACAGGCCTGCGCCGCCTTACCGAAGGGGTCCCCGTCCTCTGCCATGGCGTTGATGCGCTTGTTGGCCAGGACCTGCACGTGCTTCCCGCTGGTGCGGCTGTAGAGCTGGTAGGTCCGGACTAGGCGGCGGCTGAGCTGATCCGTCACCAGGCTCTGCTCCCTCACATGCTGTGTAAAATTAGGTGAGGACTGAACAGTTACCTTTAGGAAATTGAAAAATACACAACACGCCATTATAACGCTACTCCGCCCAGGCCAGCGGCCCCGCGCCCTGCTCCCACCGCGGTGCCCGCCGCAGACCCGCACCCGGCCCAGAGCGGCGCGCCGACCCCGCCGCGGGGACGCGCCGGCACGCAGAGGATCTGGACCCACCTGTTGGGGAGCACCCCGGGGCTCCCGGCCGGCTCGGAGCCGGGAAGCGGGCTCCCTGCCCAGCGCGGGCCCCCCGCCCGGGCCTTCCTGGAGGAGCAGGGCGCTTTTAAGTGGGGTGGCGGCGCGACCCGCCCCGGAACGTGCGCAAAGATGAGCGCGGGGCGCGCAGAGCTCCCGAGGCCGCGCGCCAGGTGCGCCCCCCGCCGCCCCCGCCGTTA